ATATATATATATATATATATATATATATATATATATATATATATATATATATATATATATGTATTATATATTTTATATTTATATATATATATATATATATATATATATATATATATATATATATATATATATATATATATATATATATATATATATATATATATATATATATATATATATATATATATATATATATATATACACATGTATGTGCTGGCAGGGCTGTCATTTTTAATTTAGCCTGCGCGATTTAAAAAATTCTTTTTTTTTTTGCTACTTAAATCAAAACCATGTTGAGTTTTGGAAAGCAATTTGCTATTTACCAAATGATTGATTATTACTTGTCTAACTATTTTTTCCATAAGCTTGCATGGAACAGAAGTGAGCGATATGGGCCTGTAATTGGCTGGATCTGTTCTGCTACCACTTTTATAAATAGGTGTAACATTAACTCTGAGCCAAGATAGTGGAACCTTTCCAGACTTTATTGAAAGTTGAAAAATCAAAGTTAGCGAAACTGCCATTGATGTGGCACATGCTTTTAAAACAAACGAACTAATGTTATCATCACCCATTGACTTATTTCCATCAAGCATATTTAGGTGTTTGAGAACAATGTTTTGGTCAATTGTTATATCCGAAGATAAAATATTTGTTTTGGATGCAAAAGGTTTTAGTGGCTGGGTCAGTGGTTCCTTTGTAAAAACTGATTGAAATTGGTTGTTGAGAATGTTTGCTTTTGTTATTCCATCACTGCTCATTTGGTTTGAATCTGAGATTAAGGCTGATATTTGATTGCTCACTATCCGTTTACTATTAATATATGCAAATAGTCTTTTTGGATTGTGCTTGTCGTTAGCTAGCTTTGACTCATAGACACGTAATGCTCGTTTGCCATTTTTTTTGACCTCCTTTTTGACAGCTGTATACTCTGTGATGTGCGCTGCATTTTTCCACTTTGAGTTTGCACTTTTGTACCAGAGCTCTTTTTTTAGTCTAATTAGCTTCATTAACTTGTTTGTGATCCAGGGTTGCCTTTTTTTGGCAGTATTTTTTGATGCCTTTGGAATAAACTTATGGCATGCTTCATTATAGAGGTTAGACCATTTGGAATAACATTATATATATATATATATATATATATATATATATATATATATATATATATATATATATATATATATATATATATATATATATATATATATATATATATACATTATATTTAACTTAACATATAATAAATGGTCAGAAAATATAAAAGAAGTAATAGATGTGCCAGGAATGGCTAAGTATACAAAAAATACAACTGTTATAATAAATTACATTTAAAAAATAATTTTTGAATGAAAATTCTAAACTTTTTATTAAAATGTTCAAATGAAAAATTTCTTAAAAACATTATCATTGTGTAAAAAACTATAAATTTTTTTTAATGAAACAATACAGATAGAGCGAATTATGTTCAAACTAAATGTCAATTATCAACTATAAAGAATAAATAAATTCATCTGTGTTGAGGGAAACATTATGTTTGTGGTAGAAAAAAAAACATTCAAAATTAAATAGCAAAAAATATTCATTTCTTTAATTTATTAGGATATTTAAGATTAACTGTATAAAATATAGTTTGGAAGCTGATATTGCTGGTTCTTCAAAACTTTTGTATAAAAAATTAAAACTTAATCTCCTAACTTATACTCAAAACTGACTCAATTTTTAATTATGAGTTTTTTAAAAAATTATTTTGCGCTAGCTTTTGACTATTTTTAAAAATGTCATGTTTTTGGGTAAACTTTTCTGATTTAATAGAAAGTCAAAGAAAACCATGATAATGAGTGGCGCTTCATTTAGAACATCAAAGCTTTTACTTCTTCTTGAAATGAGGAACTAAAATTTTTCTCTTCCTGTCTAAATTGATGAAATTAAACAAAAAACATATTATTATTAAGATTATTTTTTTATTTAAATGAAAGATACTATTCCAAGGACCATTAAAAAATCTCAGAAAAGGTTTTTTTTTGTGATTTTGTTTTTAAATAAAATTTAGACAATTTTTTTGAAATATATGTTAAGAAAAGAAGTCAGTGAATAAATATTATAATGCATAATCAAAAAAAAAGATAAAAAGGAAATATTTCAAAAACATTTAAAATAACTGTTTTTCACACCTAGTGGCCATGTTACTTAAAAAAGACCATTTAAAAGACATCCAAAATGTTCAAAAGACATTCAAAACATTCAAAAGATGCTTATGTCTTTTTTACACACTGTTCCCACTGGGCTAATTTCTTTATTCTTTATTTGAAGTTAAAAAATTAAGGTGTATACAATTATTTTCAATTTCAAAATTTTTTTTGTTTCTAAAAGTTATTTGCACATTAAAAGTGATGGTAGAATTAACTTCTGCACAATTGCTCTTGTCATTTTCTTGTTTATAGCTTCTTCAAATCTTTTACTGAATTAATAGTCTTGCCTGTTTTACACAAACATTCTTTGTCGATTGAGCTTTTTTGGTACAAAATTAACCTTTCTTAAATTATAACATTCCAAAGTTTTAGCATACTACTTTGCATAGTAGCACAAAGCTAAAATAGTCAAAGCCAAAAATAATAAGGTCTACCGTACAATCAAATGCAACAAAAGTTGCTTTTGATTGTAAAGACACTCTTGAGTATAAATTTCTGATGTCAAAGTTGATGATGCCACAAAAGTTCTACGTTTTTTTCCATTGCATGACATAAAAGCAATTTTTTGCCACATTTTTCCACAAGTTTATACTTATGCTTGTTACTTGCCAAATTGCATACCATAAATTTTTTGCCACATTTTTGTATTTATGTTTTTTACTTACACAAAAAAAGTATAACATTTGTCACCGGAAAATTGAACACAATCACATTTTATGCAAGTTTTGTCTTTCATCAAAATGCAGCCATTTCATTTTGTCAAAACTTGAGTGTAGAGTTTTTGTGCTTGTGTTTTTACAGTGGAATTTTTATCTGTCAGAATGATTTGGGTACTTAATTACTCGGAAAGTCTTATAATTGTAGTATTTCCTAACTTTTTCTAATAATTTCATGTAGTTTTTTGCTTGATAAACATTCCTGTCCTGTCTACTATAAATATAAAACAACTACTTTTGTTGTTGTTGCATAGTACCATATTCAAGGAGTTTTTTACACATATTATAGTTTGGGTCAATACAACCTTAATAGATTAATCATATTTCATTTGTTTGTGTCCGCGGTGAAATAACGAACAATCTTAGTTTCAAAGGTCTAAATTGTCATTGATAAAACACGAAGGACAGGCGGCCAGAACTTTAATGTTTCTTACTTGTTTACTAGTTTGCCAATGAGAAAAATTTTAGAGCAAAAGAAATGTAAGAAGGAAGAAGTAAAAAATACTACTGGTAAAAGTAAAAAGAGAAAGAAGAACATTAATCTATTAGATCATGTACCATCATGTAAAGAAAAAAAGAGAGCCAGAGCTGATACAGAACTTTTTTGTTTAATTTGCGAAGAAAAGTATAAGAATCGACCCACAGAGACTGGATCATGTGTCATATATGCAAGTCCTAGTTGCACAAAAGTGCACATGTGGTGAAAACACGTCCCAGGGTTTTGTTTGTGATTTTTGTTTGTAATAATTCTTTACAATTTTAATTATTATAAAGTTAAATAATAATTTTAAAAGAGTGTTGTTGTATTATGTTGCAATGAAAAGTTTCATGACCTGCCCATGGAAGACTGGATTATGTGTTACAATTGTAAGGCCTGGTGGAGGTGAGCATACCCTGAAGTTTTGTCTGTGATTTCTTTACTTGGTTATTACAAATAGCATTTTACTCATTATTACACAACAGTGTTTGCAAATACCACAAGGTGTGTTCGGAATTTTCCCACATATGTAGGGTAATTCCGAACACCAATGGTTTTATTTTTGTCCTAAATTTTTATTTTATAATAAGATATTTGAAAATTGCTTTTGGGGATTTGTGACTGAATAGTTAGACTAAATGATAAGCAAAAATATGATCAATTTTGTAATTTGTAACTGGCAATCCACTGTAGGTGTTTGCCAATATTTCACTCTCCCTTATGTTCACAATATATAATAACAATGACAGAGTTTACAACATGCAACAATAACAATATTAATAATAGCAACAATTAAAATAATTAAAATAATACAAATAATATTATGATAATTATAAAACGTCAACAAAAAATTTAAATAAAAACATAGCGCACAAAAACAGCAGTAAATGTATAAAGAGTTCAAAATGAATGAAATGAAGAAAAAGAAGAAAAAGATACGATAAACGAAAATAAAAACTTGAATACCGCAAGATACAATAAAAGAAAAAAAATGTCGACTTACTATTATTAGCCAAGCATTAATTTAAATAAAATTTATTAACTAAAAAAATAATTATTACATTTCCAAACATCAAAACAGAAAAATAAAGAAATGAATTACAACATTTGTTGACAACAGCAAATGAATTGCTATTTAAACAAGTTGAAAACAAGAAATGAATTACAACTAACTATAAATATAATTTTTAATAGTTATTTATACTTGTACCCAGGGCTGTGGAGTTAGAGACATGGAGACAGAGTCGCAACATTTGTAGTGGAGTCAGAGTCGCTTAGTAAAATTGTGACTTGGACTGCAATAGTAAAAATTCTCAGTTTTGCACATACAAAATATTTAACCTTCAAAGAATTTTTCATGTATTTAGCACCAAAAAATTTTATCTCAATTATCACGTAATATTTTTTAAAGAATTCAAATAATTTTTTTAAAATTTTGCTTTGGAGTCAGAGGTAGGGTCGTACTCTGAAAATTTCAACAACTGGAGTGGAGGTCGGAGTTGTTACTTTTTTTTTACGATTCCACCCCTGCTTGTATAATACAAGTAAATATAATAAGTTTGTAAACATATAAACAATAATGTATAAATATGAAAATGTATAAATGATTCTGTTTACCTTTTTGTAAACTGCGGTCAATAATGACGATCTTACTTGAATACTGGTCACAAATGAAATTTGAAAAGAGTGCTGCAGAATAATAGAGCCAACCAAGCCTGTTACAAATAACATAGATGCGTAAAGATATCCTAAGTTTTTATCAATGCTTTTGTTTTGAATGACTTCAATTGTTTTCCTTAAGAGAAAAAAAATTAACAAAAAATCAATAAATTCCTTTATGTTAAAAAATCTTTCAATTCATTAATGTATGAAAATTAAGAATATTAAAGAAAGTTAAAGTAGGTTAAAGAAATAAATTAACAGTTTTTCTATTAAATGACAATGTATTATATCTTTTTTGACAGCATCAGCATTATGTATTCATAAAATGTATTTAAAAGTCTTATAATAAAAATTTAATATTATCTCAATAAAAAGAAGTTTTGATATTTAATTTATAAGTGAAATTTATGGTTGACTTTTAACCTGTTCACCCCAAGGCTGTTTTTCTTTATATTTCAAAATAAAAAATTAAAAACTTAGGTTGGGTTCAGAATTTTTTTAAAAACTATTAAACTTCCCCTCCCGTGTATTAACCATTTAAAATTGAGACTAAAATGATAAAATAATCTTAATAAAACTTGTCTTAACTGTTTTTAGTTTTTTTTTTTTTTTTTTATTTTAATTCACCTCCTCAAGGCCGAGAAGGCCACTACAGACGAGGAGGCTACTTATTTGTGGTTATAACCCTCTCTCAACTCTATAACTCCGAAACACGAACCTTGACGAGCAAGGCCGCTGCGCGGAGAAACGAGTTACACATTGAACTTAGGAGAACTTCTAAGAGTACTTCAAATTTAAAATGATGTCAGTATGATACCATATGACTGAAAAATTGTTAAAATATCAACATTATTAAAAATGTTTTTTGTGCTACTTAATTAAAGTTTAATAATAGTGGACAAATTGAGTCTAACTATAATATAATTTTAAGATTATATTATAGTTATATCTCATGATTAAAATCATGAGATATAATTATAAAATAACCTCAAGCAACCTGTTTGCCTTTCTTGTTTTCAATCAGAATCAAGTTTACCTTACCCAAATCCGTTTTACTAAATGATTTCTTTTGAACCAAAATAGAAATTGAAACAGGATTTTTTGCAATTTTATGCACTTTTCATTTTAATTTCAGTAGCTTCAAAGAACTTAATTTACATTATATATCATGTGCAATATGTTGTAGCTCATTTATCAAGCACAAGACAAAATGATGTTATAAAATAATGTTTAAAAAATAAATCCTGATACTAAAAAAAGATTTATCCTAGCAATTAAGAACATTTTACTAACCCTAACAACCAAGGTTGCACAAACAAAGTACAGTCATAAAATATTTTCATAATAGATCCAACTAAATAAAGTTTTCCACATGTTTTAAATAATGCCTTTGTCACAGATGGTTTGTATTTATAAAATGTCTTTAACTTTGGTGGAATATCGTGAAATTCTTTCTTTTTTATATCTCTTTCCTTTACCATCTTTTCTATTATAGGACTGCTAAAAATTAATTAATAAAATTATTAGAACTGTTTATAAAACATTTATAAATAGTTAATATTTTGTTTATTTTAAATATTAAAAGATTTTATCATAAAAAATTGTATGATTAAATTTTTCTAAATACTTTTTTTGTTTCTCCATTTCCTCTTTCCAGTATTTTTCAAATTTCAAACCAAGATATTGTGCAGTGTTCTTTTCTTGCAGTTGCCATAGATCACTATCTTCTAATGGTCTTTTAAACCCATCAACTATAAGTCTAAAATAAAAAAAATATTTTAAAGACTACTCATCATCACCATCATCATCATCATCATCATCATCATCATCATCATCATCATCATCATCATCATCATCATCATCATCATCATCATCATCATCATCATCATTATCATCACCATCATCGTCATCATCATCATCATCATCATCATCATCATTATCATCATCATCATCATCATCATTATCATCATCATTATCATCATCATCATCATCATCATCATCATCATCATCACCATTATCATCATCATCATCATCATAATCATAATCATAATCATAATCATCATTATCATAATCATCATCATCATCATTTTTGTTTCAATTTTTAGATTGTTCAAATTTAAACCATACTTTAATGATCCTGACACAAGTACGACAGCAGATTATGTTAAGTTGTTTTGGTATGGGATAAAGCTAAGCTTTAAGCTTAAGCATGAGCTGTAGCATATAGCTACATATTATAGCTTTGTTGAAAGCTACTACATAACGACAACTCTACAGTTGCAATGTTACTATAGTCATCTAATGACTATAAACAGATCTTATGAACGGACTTATACTTTTTCCCTATTAAAGGATAATTTAATCTGCTTAAAATTGTTAGAGAAATAGGTAAGTGCATTTTTTTAGATGTTTGAAAATATATATCCTTAAGTTTACTAAGCTGTTTAACCTATCCCAATGGGGTAAGTTGAGCAACTGTGTGGGGTAAATTGAAAAATCAATAATTTAATAAATAAGCATAATAGGGAGTTTAGATAAATCATCAGATAAACAATCGTTAATAGTAAGCGTGTCTATACTTTATAAACTTTTTGTTTTATATACGCTACCACCTTATCTTTTCTTTTTTCTTACTTCTTTTACTAAAGTATGAGAAAAGTAAAAATTAAATAGTAAAAAAGTAAAAATAAAAATAAAATAAAAATAAAACATTATCTTGCACAATTTTCTTGAACTTTGAAGCCCATTTTAAAGTGGTTTACCATGAAATGAATTTTTTTTTTTTTTTTTTTGCCAAATTGAATTTATTATTGCAGAATATTAAATAAAGTAGATCCAAAAACGAATTTTAGTTACTAGCTATCAAAAAAAAAATTGAAATTTTTTGTAAAAAACATTAAATTTTAGCCAAAAAAGGCCTATAACTGTGCACATGAATGAAACAAAAAAACTCAAAAAATTTTTCTCAAAATGATAATATCACTTAAATTATCTAGATCCTGAACTGAAGTTCATTGCACAATTAGAAAGGCCAATTTTTTAATTGGCTTTTCTAATTGTGCAAGGGTTTACATGAAAAAATTATGAACAACAAGTAATAGCACTGTAAATAAAGCACCTTATGTCTTGATTCTAGTTCAGTCTCCAGATGGAAGGGATTACTGCATATGCTGAAAATTTTTGCTCCATATATATCTAAATATCTTGCTCCATGTAAAGATAAATAGTGAAAAGTGACAAACTGAAGAAACAATATTTTAAAAACAAAATGTGTTGCAATTGACTTTTGAAATTGGTAGAGTGAAAATGTACTGCTCTGAAAAGCAACAATCGTTTTCAAGTTAATTTTAAATGCACTTATGCCTTTATTTTTGCATGTTTTTTTCCACATTATTGCTTGTAAAAGTGAACCACTCATATGAACAAGATATACATTTGATTTTCAATCCATAGCTCCCAACTTTTTAAAAGTCACTAGAGGGTCATGCGTTTTGTGGCAAAATGTTAAATTTAATATACATCAAGTTTAAAGAATTTGCCGTACACATACATCAGATTGAAAGAATTTACTTGTTAATGTACTGTACTGTAGGTTTTTTAGCCATGATGAACTTAGCAACTTGAAACAACAAATTAAATCGTGGATCAGATGCATTTTTGAGACTATTCAGCTTATGCCATAGTATGGCCCATACATGACAAATTCTTTCTTCTAGAAAAGTGTTGTCTGTTTGCATTTACTAAATTACTGTAACTGCATGAACGGCCTTAGCAACGGGTTGTTTATGTCGGAAAATATGTGATATAAAGTTTTGCGCCATATTCACTGGAATCAGCTTTGATAACTGTTTCTGGGAAAACACTAAATCCAATCCTTCAAAGTGCAATCTAAATTTTACTGACCGATGCGATCTCCAATAGAAATTTAGTTTTAACTTTAAAATAAAAGAAACTCTGAGACTTTTAATAACATTTAATAATATTTGTATTTAATATTTATTATTAATCATGTTGTTATTAATAATATATTCGTTTAATATCAATTTGATAACATTTATATCACATTGTAAATGCCGTAATCGGGTCAAAAGTGTTCAAACAGTACTTTGACGGATTGGATTTAACGTTTCCCCAGTAACATGTTTATTAAACTGAATAAGTCATGGTTTCTAGGAACAATTATTATATTTAGATTTGTAACTTATAGAAAAACTAAAATCCTCGTGTTTTTTTTTATTTGCTAGCCTCGTTCATCAGTGCTTTTTTTATTATCGGAAAATGATAATATGATTTAAATCTGAGAAAGAAATTAGGTGGTAGCACGATATATAAAAAAATATATTTTAGAGGAAATCAGTTTTCTCCAGTATCATCAGTATGCGAGAAAAATAGTTTGACTTCTCAGTTGGAAATCACTAATTCTACTAACACAAAATCTAAAATCTTGACGTCAATATCTTCAAAAAAAGTAACACAATACAGTACTAATAGTAATGTACAAATTAATAATTCAAATGAATTGCCTTATTTTTTTATATTTATTGACACAGACAATTTAAAATCAATTATTATTTTAATTGGGCATTGTCTACAACGCTATAATAATTCAATTGAAATCTCAATTGATTTATCGAAAAAAAAAGGATTGGCTATTTTTTAAAATATTTCTTGTATAACACCTTCTTGCGATTGGAATAAAAGTATAAATGTCAGGGATACATTTAGAGTGTTTACATTCAACAGCATAATTGACAAACGGACGACTGAAATGGAAAGAAGAAGTAAAATTTACAAGGATGTGTCAGCACAGTTTTCATTCATCAATAACCTACAGTAAAGCAAAGAAAAGTATTTTAAAGGCTGTCATACCTTAGTCAGTTTTTACTAGGAAGATTTCACGATAGATATCGTTGGAGAACTGCAGCAGTTTCATAAGTACCTCAGCTCAGGGTTTCAGGGGGAAAAAAATAATTTCACTTATGCTGAATTATGTGATGTTATTGTTCAAGATAAACGTCGTAGTGTTTTTCCAAACCTGGATATTGCTTTTCGCATTTTCCTTACCTTCATGTTAACAAATGTTTCTGCTGAGCGATCCTTTTCACAGTTTAAGAGACTCAAAATCCATGTAAAACAACAATGAGGAGGAGAAGGTTTGAAATGTAATGAAGGTAGGAGAGATTGGACTCTCTGCATTTGCGGATTAAGACTTCTTGGGGCTCTTAGCTATTTTTGTTTTTGGAGGCCTTTTTATGGGCCAGAGCCTAAAAATTACTAAAAAAATTTGCGGGGCCCCCGCCTCCCTCTCCTTGATCTGGCACTGGCTCTCTGGCTCTACTCTGCATCGAGGCAGATATGCTTACTTTAGTTGACTTGGACAATGTAATCAACGATTTTTCACGTTTAAAGTTAAGGAAACGATATGTCTGATTTATAAAAATTATAACAATTACTAGTAGTGTAGTAGTTTCGTAACTGTTTACATCATACTCATAGATGTTGTTTACAATTTACATCATCATAGTTACATGATATGTGACAGTGTGATTTATAGATTATAGCATGTGCATATAATACTAATGTTGCACAGCAACAATGTAATAAATATTAATGTTGCACAGCAACTTGCACTTACCTGCTATTGGTTGACTATGTTTGGGCACCGTACTTGGTTAAGTTCCTAGGGCCCCTAAATATGTTAATCCGGTCCTGTGTCTGGGAGCAGTTGATATGCCACAAACATATCAATACGATCATAAACACAGTCTACATTATCTCCAATTAATATTTCAAAGTAGAAAATCTGTTTATAAAGTATAACACTGATTCAAATTCAACAGACCTTCTATTCATAATTTATATAACAGTTGCATGTTCAACAACAGGGTCAGTCAATGGAAAATGAACTTTTCAAAATAGATAGGCTGCCTGCATGAACCAAAGTGATTCAGATTCAATTCTTGCCTCCTCACTTGGTAGAAAGTTTTTTTTCTCATTGCTTTACGTGTGGTGAATCCTATCATAACTTTTCCTTTGTCAAGAAAAATGCTGGATCATTTCTCTAAAACATACTCCACTTTAATAAATCCCCCCAAGAGAATGTTCAGGAATTCCATGATTTTACTTTTTACCACATAATTTTTAGGTTCTTCTGATTGAAGAGTTTTATTTAGAATAGAAAACAAAGGTAAAGCTGATTGATAAAACATCAGATAAACTTCAGTATTCTTATCTTCAAAAAATGCCTTTAATCTTGTGAGTCGTTTGTCACTTTGTACTCTATTTTGACTATTGAAATAAGATTCAAGGCTTTTACATTGTTTCAGTACCCTAGTGATACACACTTCTTTATTTAGCCATTGTGTAGCCCATACTTCAAAATTGTCCTGTACTCCTGATCTCAAAAGTTACAAAAATTCTTTAATGTATGTTGTTGTTTAGTGCTGTGGTCAAAGTAATAAAAATTTCCTCTAAAAAGCCATCAACATCAAATCCTGTTACTTTAGTAAATGCTTCTGATCCTGATTTTTCAGTATTGTGAATAATATGACAGGGACATCTAAATGAGCAAATGGGCTTTAATAAAAAAGTTTTTTTAATAAATTATGTGAATAATCCCATGTTTACAGAGGCATTATCTAAACTAAAACCACCTTTTGGAAAATTACTGCAGCTGTACAATCACTGACAAGAGCGATATTTCAAAACTGAAAACTGATTTGAACTCTGTTAATGTCATAAATCTTCACAACAAGTGGG